ACTTTATGCGTAGATGATCGCGATAATGACAAGTTCTATGCGAAATTTCAACTGTTAAAAGCATCTCTACCGAAAGATGACAGTCATAATTGGGGAAGACTGGAATGCGCGCCTAAATCATGATGCCGTTACGATAAATTCGTTAATTAGCAAATATGGTATCGGCGTCCAGTGCGTCAATGGAGAATGCCTTCTTCGTTCTGCCGAGGAATATGAACTCTTTGTAATATATTCTTTCGGCACGGGAGAAAACATCTAATCACGTGGAATTTTCCCGATGACCAATATTCCAACCAGATTGACTTGGTCAGTTTTGGAAAAGTTCCGTACTTGATAATCGTTCTTATCGGGGCGCTGAAACTGGTAATTGCCACGGATCAGACCATGTTATGGCTTTAGCTAAGATTTGTATAAAACTGAATCTTAAGAAATAACGTATCCCAAGATCTTTCAACTATCTTAAATTAAAAGATCGAGAAACAATAAGTGCATTTCAAACCGTATTATCGAAACCGGATTACACCTCAGTGAAATGAACGCCAGTGATATCTCGGGAACGGCGAATGAATACTGGTCCCAACTAAAGACATGCCTACAAAAATCAACCACTTCCACATTAGAGTACACTAGTAGCAAGTGTACTAGTTGGGTGTCGAAAGCAATTGTCCAACTTCTGAAAAACCTGCTAAAGCCCGAATGTCAACAGATCCTGACTATCGGGTATTTCGAAGAATTCATTGCTACTGGATCAATATGACCTTGAGAATGGAGACGGCGACTCGGATAAGTGATAATAGGAAACTGTGTCGCCTTCTTCACAAAGCAACTATAATTCGAGAAAGAGTCAGTGAAATGATATGGGATATTAATGCAATGCCTTTAAGGCTTAAGGATCGCCTCAGAAGATGGAAAGAATTTTTTGCCAAATTTAAACATGATGCGCCATCTGTTGTCCCGGATATATTTGAATTGCCCATCGAGCCTTACGTCATAATCTCTGTAAACCATAAGCTTAAGGCCAATAAAATCCCGTAGAAAATAGTCTTCGGGTCAACTTTTCAAATGTTGTCCATCATCGTTCATAAGTCACCTTCAACAAATGTATGGCAAAAGGAAATAATACCAGAAGACTGTGCAGCAAAGTAATTCTTCCAATTGCTAAGAAATGTGACAGGACATGCTGTGAAGAATCAGACTACTGGACATCTCCGGAAAAAAATTCGCTTTCCTTCTGCTAAATAGACTCGTAGCAACACCAGATAGCACAGTGCTCCTAATCAAGCTGGATTCAGACCGGGATACGGTTGTGATGACCTGATATTTATGATAAAATGAGTTTTGGAACATCGCTTCAAACACCAGCAACCCACCATTCTTGCTTTATCGATTTTACAACTGCCTTCGATTCGACTGACAGCACTCTGGTAAATCATGAAATATGACGGTGCCCAGAGAAGATATTCTGCTCATAAAGGCATTTTATCAAAACACTTTGTCACAGGTATATACGGGAAACTAAACCTGAACCTTTCGAAATTAAAACTGATGTCCGTCCTTTCCCCTATACTATTCAACTATAAGATAGAATGGATAATGGGCATCGTTTGTCGGAATTCAAGAGGTGGGTAAATCAGTCAAGAGCACAGCATCACAGAAGACGCTGATGATATAATCCTTTTTGCATAATGAAGTAATAATGTAATAATGTTAACCAATGTGTCAACTGCAACGAGAATTGGACTCAAAATTAATAAAAGACTTTTCATCTTATGTACAAAAGCTAATAAAATGCCTCCTTTTATAAATTCATTCTACCTGTTAAAGAAATGCCCGATTTAAAATACCTTGGATCCATTCTAATTCCAAATGGTCAGGCAAAATTGTAATCCGGATAGCGACAAAAATGTTTTTCCGGTTGACGAAACGGAACCGTCGCGAAAATATCATAAAAACGAAAGTCCATATAGCTGCAATTCGCTCGATCTTGCTGCGAAACAATGAGAATGGAAGCTATCAGCCACACATATCTAAGATACATTTTACGGATCTATCGAGCGGATAAAATCGCACAAAATCACATGGTTGTAACCATTTTCGCTCAAATACCACCTATAATAATAATTTTTTCACAGAGCGCCAGCTTCGCTGGTTAGAACACGTTCTCCGTCGTCCACCACAGGTGTTGACGTATATTTCACTATTTGCCGAATCTTGTGATAGTTGGTGTCAAAAGCAAGGAGAGCCAATTAAAACCGGGACTGTTACAATCAGGAAAGATTTCGAACGTATAAAAGGACCAGCGATGGACTTAGACGATGGAAAAAGGAATGGTTTCTATCATAGCGATAGCGTCAGATCGAGCAGCTTGAGGCAGTTCTTACCCTTGTAACCAGCGGAGCACGTCTAACCAGTAATGATGAGAGCTGTTCGAAGAATATAACTAACTGAATATAATATAACCAACTAGTAATATAATTAAGAATATAACTAACTGTTCAAAACAAGAAAAGTGCATTGCATGACCACAAGTTGAAATATTCAAGCCACACGGGACATTGGATGGCATAAATAAAAGTGAATCCAATATTTCGAAATCTCCATCTTTTGTTTCCATTGCACGTCGATGAAAAAGTGTTGACCTAAGAAAAAATTGTTCGATATTTTTTAATTTTCTTCGTTATATGAGAAATTTTTTTAAATTTTTTTTAGATTCTAATTTTTAAATCTTTTCTAATTTTTAAATAATTTTAAATTTTTAAATCTTCAATACACCCGAGATAATCGACTTGAAAAATAAAAAATAAACAAGATTCTGCAATAAACAAAATTAGAAAAAACATTAAACCTCTGAATATGAGCTGTTAGAACGACTGGTTTACCATCGAACATTATTTCACTTGATTCTTTGCATAAAATACAATGCATTACCCGTCGACTAAAGTTCACTGGACTTCGATCCTTGCCCAAACACACAGGAAATCCATCATTCACTGTAGAAATGCTGGAACACAAAAGATATGGAACATAGTATTTCAATAAATAGGAAGTAAATTTAAGGAAAAAGTACTGAAGAAATAAAGCAAATAACGAGTATAATTTCAATAAGTTGATATCTTTTCGGTTATTTACAGAATTTCATAGAGAGAATTTGATAAATTGTTTAGAAATATTAAACTACTTGGTTATTTGATATTCAAAATAAAATGATTAAATTTTCTATTTCTACTTAATGGCATTGCATGATAGGTGTTTGCCTGATAGTATAAATTACATTTATATATATATATATATATATATATACATAATATATATAGTCAGTAATCTCTTTTCTATATTAAAAATAATTAATACTAATATAATAAAAATAGTATAAAACATAAAACAAAAAAAATGACTAATAAATAATATATTAAAAATAAGTAATTTATTTTGTTTCTTCTTTTTCAGTTTTCACAATTTTTTATTTCAAATTCCTGAAAATTCTTTGATTTCTTTCAAAAATTACTTCAAGAATTTTTAAATAATGGTTTTTTTTTTTTTAAAGGTTTGCTTTATTTCAAATTCTGATTATTGATCCAGACATTCAAAAAATTGAAAAACAGCATACAAAGAGTATTCTTCAAGCTCCAATTCTTGTCTTTCCTTTTCGTCCAGCTTTTCACTTTCTTTTTCAATTGATTCCATGTTGCGCTCAAGAAATTTTTCTTGCATTCGATTCATCTGAAATGTAATATTTATTATTTAAAATAATCATAAATAAGTTATCAGGGCATAAAGTCGTGCTAATTGAATTATCACTAATATTTGCATTAATAAAAATAAAAACAATAAGAGAGAAACAATTAAAAGAATCAAGACATGGTTTTCACTTTTAAGCTTTTAAGATTCTATATTCTCTATGAAGTTAAACATTGCAAAATATAATGAATTATTACAATATAACGGTAGACAATGGATTGAAACTACGAATACACATTTGTGAGACAACTATTCTCACAATTTCTTCATCAAAAATGTCTGCTGTTGAAACAAATTGCCTAATGATGTTTTTTTTTTGCTCCCTCTGATCTCTTCTTTAAAAATAGACCTAATAACATTATTCATCGTTTAATCCTTTAAAGTTTTCAATAGAACTCCAGTCTAGTCTACCGAGTGATTAAGTTGCATTTTAATGTATAATTTTTTTATTGTATAATTATTTTAGTTATTTTGTCATTGCCATTCTTGTATATATTTTTTTTATATAGGTTATTTTTCTTACTAAGTTTGTAAATTTATATTCTGCCTAATTAATTTATATCTGCAAATTTTTTTTTTCTAAGAGCGCTAAGCACTACTGAATATGTTCGCTCCGCTGGCTTATCGGACCAGACAAATTTCGCCAGAGAATCACTTGCAGTTAGAATTAGAGGTGATTTTTAAAGAGCAGATCTACTCTTGTAGGACGTCCACATCGACACTCCTGAGCAACAACCTAATAAAACATCCTAATCCATTTTTCACCATTCAGCAACATTGCCGCTCGATGAAGCGTGATGAGTCGACCAGGTTCGAACACAAGCCATTCTCGGTTCCAAAATTCTTGCCATTAAGCCACCGATATCCCAAGTTTTACAGAATCAAAATTATAATCAAAGTTATACATTTTTTGTCTCAATTTATTAAGTAAAGAATCACGATTCAAACGAAATAAAAGCAATTATCTTAATCGATTGTCTAAGGGAAAAGCATACCATATTATATTTCAAATGTATAAAGAATATTTTGTACATATTACTGAGAACATTTTTCTAAAAGTTCTGAGGATGAGATATGAAATGAAAAGAAGAAGGATTTCTTGATGGTATTTTTGATATATAAATTTAATTCATGCGACATAAGGTGAGATAATCAAAAAATGATTGAACAAATGGAATTTTTAGTTAGAAATTTAATATTGAAATAATAAAATTTAATAAAGGATAAGACGAATAATTGGAAAGAAAAAATTTAAAGAACATTTATTCAGTTACCTGAAGCAATGCTTGTTTACGCATTCGAGCAGCAGTAGCTTTCCTTGCTATTAAATTAGCATCATTTGATGAAACCTGTCTAGTTTCCTTCATGGTATCGATACCCGTTATATCTTCTTTTATCTTTTTGTAAGTCTAAAATGTAAAAACATATTGATTAATAATGACATCTAATATAATATCAATAATCACCAAAGCAGAACTTAAATTATTGTTTCCTACTTTTACTTAACCTTAAAACCTTATAGCGCCTTATAACACAAAATACTTTATTGGTTCAAACCGAACCAATAAGACAATAAAATATGAATATGAATAATTTACATGAATAACCCAATCAAGCAACTGCGCATTTTGCTTGGCTTCAGGTTTGTCGACCAACTGTTCTAGCAATTGAAAGACTTTTAAATTTTCAGCGCGACTAACGAAATCAAAATCTTTGCAAATCTTTTGCTCATTCAAACCCATTCCAATTAAAAACAAAGTCTAAAATTGAAATAAAGATTACTTCTATTTTTCATCTATTTTTATTCATTTTTCATAAAATTCATTCATATCTATTTTTCACTTGCATTTAGGAACTAATAATAAAATTTCCAAAATTCGCATTTCAGTCAAACAATGTCAAACAATCTCAAGTTTTTCAACTAATTACAAGTGGTGGCACAAAAAAGATTAGAAGATTATGCAGAAGGGAAACAATACTTTTTTTTCGATTTAAGTGCATCTTATGTTCTATAATATCATAAAAAGAATAAAAAATATAATGGATACCCTATGAAGCATACCATCACTTGAAAAACGACTTCTTTTGATAGTTCTTTGTAAAATAATATGAATAAGAAAAACCAGTACATTACATCGTAATAATTCCGTGATCGGCGCAAAGAAAGGCTCGAAAGGTGGTGGCACTGGTGGTGCGCAAGCTTGGAGATGACTGAAGTCAAGAAGCGTTATAATATAGTTCCAATATAATGAAAAAAAGAAACTAATGTCAAAAAAAATCGTGCATTGAAAAGAAAAACCTTAAATCGAAAAAGAATATAAGGAAAATAAATGCAGAAAATTATAATTAAAAGAATAATTCTTATAGAGATGGTCTATGCAAAAATGAAGTAATGCAAAAAATTGAAATAAAAACAAGTTCAGGAAGAGAAAATTGTGCCTATCGAGATCTGCTCGACGCTGTCGTTGATAATGATGCGCTTCAGAAAATTTAGCCTTCGAATAATGATAATAAAACGGATTGAATTCAGATGCAACGGACGTTTTCATGATGAAAATTCCAGGTGTTGTATCGTTCGGTGCCCTAAATATAAGAATTTAATAGCATTACTTTTTTTTTATAAGTAGTTTTTATCTATTTAAATTTCAATTATAATCTTGTTATAATCTTGATATTCTTGACCGGCAAATACAGAAATATAAAAAATAACACTAAAACTCTGAAAGTAACCTAAATTCGCCCACAGAATTGGCGGCAATTTCAATTTCTACAGCACTGTTCCAGTGAAATGCATCTTGTAGCTTAAATAAAACAGTGTAACTAAATTTAAATGGCTCAGACATATATCTAAAAAATATATTAAATACAAAAAATATAAATATAAATATAAAAAAAAATAAAAAAATATGGAAAGAAGCCTTGAATTAAACAAATTATAAAAACTGACCGCACTGAATGGTTTGGGACCTGTCGCTAAAAGATGCAGAATTTCTCGTCTTAGCTTAGCACTATTATTCACCTTTCCCACTCCTAATATATATCTTTCACCTAAATTATAAAATTTATGACTATATAAAATTAGATAACATTTTAAAAATCCTATGATGAATTCACGCTAAAGTATTTTGAAATTTGAAAAAAACTTTCAAATTTCAAATACATCAACAGCAAAAATGGCAAATACAAGCAAAAAAATGGTAAGCAAAACGAAAAATTATAAAGAAAAAGGAAAAATAAATTACCAATAATGATAATAATCAAATGTAACATTTCCTCAGCCAATGTAACCGTTTGTTTGCTAAGTTCATCCATTTGAGCACTGAACTGTCGATTTTCATAACCGACCATTGCCCACTGAGTCAAAACAAATTTCTGAAGAAGTCGAATCATAAAAGTATTCGGTGGAGTTAAAGACGCACCAACCTATAAAATTTTCGCATTATATTGAATAGAATTCCTCTTGCAGAATTCCTTTTTTCTTTCAAAATATATCTTTTTTCTCACTAACCTGCAGCATTAGAATATCTCTATCGAACATTTCTGAACGACAAAGAGGTGCAAAGTAATTATGAACCTAAAATTAACAAATCAACATCAAATATCAACACTCCACTTTCAAATATTAGTAAAAATGAAAATTGCTCTTCCTTTTCATTTTTATTTATAATTAAATGCCATGATTGATTGATATTCGCAAATTCTCGATTTATAACTTTATTCCACTTATTTGAGATTTCAAACTTTGACTTTGCCTTACTATTACTATTCAGTTGAAGTGAAACGAAATAAAATAAAATGTTTTGTGTGCCGCGACTTATTGGTAAAGAAACAATAAGGACCTCAATGAGAAAAATTAAAAGATCCTTTACAATTATTAAGAAAATAGAAAGTGGCAGAACAAAATGAGTGAAAAATGAAAAAAGGCAATCAGTAAGCAAATATAAAATCCCTCTATTTCTCCATGGGCTAATCAGAGGTTTTTTCGTAATATTGCTGATGAATTATCGAAAAACTGTTGAAAACTCGAAAAGTAAACGTAAGATAAAAACGATACAGATAAACCTGGTTAGCGAACGAATTGCCATTTCGACGCCACATATGAGCTTGATATTGAGAACACACTACAAGCACTCTGAAAGTATGATACTTTGGCACTGTTAAAACATTTATAGTTTAAAATTTTTGACACTGATTGTGTTTTAACTACATTAACTCAATTATGTATAGGATTATACAATCATTGACTAAAGTACTGACTAAGATTTCAGCAAATCTCCTCAAGCCTGCTTGATTATTTTATTACTTATATTTATAATAAAGCTTTATTGTAATCAATAAAACTTATATCTGGGGTATTGATAAAACAAATTTATTATTATACGCAATTAGCCTCACACTTCGATACGATATGCACTGCATAAACTATAAAATTCTTCATCAAACAGCTCTCATTATTAGTTAGGCGGCTGCGTTAGCTATAAGTATATGACGTCTCCAAGCAGTCCGACCTTATAATAATAAAAGCCATTTCTTTTTCCATCGTTTAAGTCCATATATCGCACGTAAATATTTCCTTCCTTTCTGATCATATTAGTCCAGGTCTTGATTGACCCTCCTCGTTTTTGATGCCAACCACCAATGCTTTATGATGACATTAATGCAGGAGCGAGAGATGAAAACAATCATGCAACATTCTATCCGCACAACCAAAATGTGGACCACCAAAATGTATCTTAGACGACATGTGTGATCGAAGATAAATTATTATTATTCTCCATTCTCAACGGCCATGTCTCATAGCCATGTAGCAAGATCGAGCGAACTGCATCTATATAAATGCGGGCTTTCGTTTTTAGGCTTAGGTTTAGGATTAGCGCTTACCGATAAGTGATGAATAGTAGGCGAAAGGACGCAGCCTCGATGGACATCAGTTTTTATTTCAAGTCTGTTAATTCCCCATATATAGAGATTGCCGATGCTGATAACACACTTATGAGTCGAATGATTTTTTCTGGAACAGCAGGCTTATGGCAACGAGCGATTCAGCTGCAGATGACGTATCGTTGTCAAGCTTGGCGTCAAAGAATTCCTTCCACCTTATGAGGCGATCCTTAATAGCCACATCATTATTATCCCGTATTACTATTTTCATGTCCTTCCTCGAGTTATACTTGCTTTGTGAAAAAGGTGGAATAATTTCTTATTATCGCCTAATCGAGTCTCCGTCTCCATTTTCAAGGTAATATCACTCTAATAGCGATTTCTATCCCGCTAAGCTATTGTTATAATTCCTCTAAGCATTCGGTAGCCAAGTATTTCCTAACATTCCTGTTATAACAGCCTTCTCAGATAGACAATCGCTTCCGACACCCAACTAGCGTGTTTCCTACTAGTATGTCCTAGTACGAAAGTGGTTCAGTTTCGGAGACATTTCTTTAGTTGGACCAGTATTCATCAGCCATTCCAGAGATGTTCACTGATGTTCATTTCACTGATTTTTTTCAATAATTCGGTTTGAAATGTGCTTACCGTCCCCGATTCTTTTAGTTTGAAATAAATGAAAGATCTTGGAATACGTTCCTTGCTATCAGTTTTATACGAATCTTAGCCCGAACCATAACGGCCCATGAAGTTTACCTGTTTCAGTCCCCTATTTAGTACGAAATTCTAAAGGCGATTGACAGATATAATCAATCTGGTTGCAATATTTGTTATCTGGAGAATTCTTCATGATTAAATATTTTCTCCGATGTCGGAAGCATGTAACAAAGTAACAAAGAATTCAAGCCACTAAGAGAATCGAAGAAAATGTTCTCCATTGTCGCAACGAATCTACCAATTATTGAGTTTATCATGGCGAGATCGCGCATTCCAGTCTCTTCCGACTATGTTATTTTTCGGAAGAGATTGTTAGCAATTGAAATTCCGGATACTGTCGTTGTCATCAATTCTTAAAGTTGGAGAACAATGATGACCAAAATATTGTTGAACTTCTCTTTGAAATGAGCACCATACGGTGGTTTACCAACTTCTACTCAGTCAGAGGGTATATTGTATTTATATTGTATTTATATTATATTTATATTTATATTTATATTATATTATATTATATTATGTTATATTATGTTATATTATATTATATTATATTATATTATATTATATTATATTATATTATATTATATCATATTATATTATATTATATTATATTATATTATAATATTATATATTATATCACCTCTCAGGTTCCCGGTAGGTGATCCGAGATTGAGGGTGATATTGACAGCAGTAAAAAAGTTTTTTTTAATTAATTGATTTAATCTATAATTTATTTTTTAAAAATTCAAATGAATTTAGTTCAACTCTAATCGAAAAGAATTTGATGTTTCGATTTAGAAAAAGCATAAGAAAATATCGGAGCCGGAAGGAAAAGCGACCGCTCAAGAATTTTATTTCTTTGGAATTCCAAAAAACTATAAATTGTGAAAGATTTATGAATTATTAATTATATTTTACCGTAGTGGCATTTCGCAAAGAAGAGCTCGTTTACCCGCCAAATCTATTGTATCGTCATCAGCACGAGATGGATGATCTGGACTAGCAATAATGTTTTCCAAAAATTGCTGCGGAGCAGTAAACAATCCGGCAAAGAGTCGAATCAATGGCTGATGGAACGAAATTTCCGCGTGGCTAACATCATATGGTATACACATTGCACGCTGACCATAAACTGAAAGATTTAAGAATTATTAATTGTACCAATAAAGAAACATGCCAATTTTCTTATCATATTTTTAAAAAAATTACCTTCTACTTCGGATTTCTTTGGAAAATATAAATCATTAGACCACTGAGTATGTAAGGTGTTCAATAAATGCTTCAGTAAGGCCTTGTGGACATTCTGCTAAAAAATGAGGAGATAAAAAAAGAATTAAAAATTGGTAAAAAATAAAACTAAATTTAAAAAAACTGATAAGTAAGAGTTTCAAAATAGAAGAAAATTTCTTTTTAAAATACCAACATCTGAACATGCCCAACTTATTGTTAAGAATATACTTCGCTGAACCCTTATTTGTATATTGAAAGCAGTTTCCCACTCAAGTTCATAAGTTTGGTGTTCGAATGTTTTTCGCTGAACTTCATCCATATTCTTAAAATCATAAATGTATCACAATACTTAATAATTAATTAAATAAATAATATATAAATAATAAAAACCACTTTCTCTTATTCTGTATTTTGAAACAAATTAAGTAAGCAAATTAGCAAATAGTTATGCTTCATCATTTCCGTATAAGAACCAACCATCCCTTCAATTCTTTTTTAAAAACTCTCATTGCTGGTTAGACTCGCTCCGCTGGCTTTGTCGCATTGGATAAATATGCTAGGGAATTCCTTGATGATAGAAATACAGGTGAGTCGCCAACATCACCCGTTTTACCCTTTTTTTTTATCTATTTTTGAACAATTTTACCCCTTGCGAAAGTAGAACCTTAGCATCGACGCTTCGAACCCACTGAGTCATTCTACCTTCCAATGCTTCTCCATTAGGCGTATTGCCGCTCAACATCCTGAAGTGTGGTGCGTCGGCCAGATTCGAACCAAAGCTTCGAATCTCGGTGGAAATTTTCTTGTCACTCGGCATCCTTTCATTTATTATACCTTGCTATATTCCTTTAAACTCACCTTCCCATAAGCTTTCTTGTTTACTTGGAAAATTTTTATATATCGTTTTGATCGCATCATTTCCTCATATTCAAAATTTTCTAGCACTCTTAAAAATCTTCTTTGTAGCTAAAAAAAACGCCATTTCGACATTTCACAGAATGGTGCTTTACGTGGACTACTTAGGTTTTTTTCCCTAACTGCGTTGCCATTTCGATCTTTAATTGTTCGTTCTTTCTGCTGCAGAATGAATGCCATTTAAGGTATATATGAAAAAGTATTAAAATTATGTACTACCTTCTACCTAATAATTTGCCTATGTAAATGTGTGTATATATATTCTTCTTTTTTCCTTTTTTTATTGTAATCGGCTTTTTTTGTTTTTTCTTACTAAAGAGGAGTATAACGAATGAAATATGAATGAAATAAATGTTCGAACCTGCATACAACGAAGAAATCGAATAAAAGAATAAGATCCGAGCAAAAATTTGGTACGCAAAGCTGTGGACCAATGTTCCGATTTAGGTACAATTGATAGTAAATATCTAAAAAATTTATATCATATGATTCTAATATAAAATGATAGATGAATTATCGAGAACTATTCAACTAACCCGATTATTATATAATTTTATTCTAAATTCGATCGGAATCATTGGTACTTTGGTATTGGTACTTATATCATTGCTGTGTTTATATAAAAGTTGGCTACACAAATATTGATAGTGGTTTCAGTATCAGTAACAGTTCTTAGTTTTACTTCTGTTTATTAATAGGTCTTTCTAAGTTACAATCCTTGCAACTGTCGTTCATATTAATTTAATTCTTCATATCCCACCTGTTTTGTCCGAATAGAAATTAAATGGTCGCTTTGCTATTATTTTCTATATCTCTACATCTCTAATATTAATACGATTTGGTTCGTCCTAGAAATCTGTGGAATATTCAAGTCCCAATGTGGACCAAGTTTTCTGAACTTAAAGTCAATTTTAGAATTTAATTTTACAAGATCTTAAAAAAATTTTTCTTCTCTATAATTCTTTAATAATTTCTTTAGTCGAATTGAATCAAAATTATTAAATTAATCCACAAGCACACAAATATTTTTTATAAATTTCCTGCGAATTTTTTTCGCAATTATCACAATTTGCCAACGTTTACAAAAACTAAGCAATTTGCCAACGGTAATCAATCACACCCTATCCAAACATCGTGTGGGTACCACTTGCTTGTCGGAAGTCTGCCTTCCTATTCAGCAGTAATTATAGCTGGAATAAAAACTACTGACTGTATCATAGTAGCGTACTGGAAAAATGGATAAGGAAAAATATAGAGTCACGACCATCATGTCCGAAAAAGCATGACCAGCTCTAATCGCATGGAACTCTATTAATATCATATGGTTATGCCCGCTTTAAGATAACGCCAAATTTAACCTCGAATTTTCGTTTCAAATTATTACAGTTTAGATATTAAAACACAAGATTGAAAAAGCAGCAAACAGTAAAATCAAATTCAGAGAATAAACCATTAATATTACAAAATAAGGAGTAAATATGAACAATAATAACTATATTTTACGAAATATAACTCCATTAGCTTGAATTTCTACCACTCTTTTCTAAAAACAATAAGCGCGAATAAAATAATAAAAGCTTGCAAAAGAATCCTCAACATAAAAACAAGAATGACAAGAAAATTTGATTAAAACCAAAACGCCTTTTAATTTAAAAAAAGTAATCACCTGTAATCATTGAAGACATTAAGAGCTCTTCTCAAAACATTTGGAAAGGTTCGAGTGGTGAAATCGAAACGAAGTTTTTCTGGCTCTTAAATTTGATAAAGAGTTAAGATTACAGTGAAAAAATTGATTTAGTCAAGAGACTAATTTTAAACTTTTAATTTTAAACTTGTAAAATGTTATTGCTTGATCAAGTGTTTATCAGGCAATAATAAAATTGTTATAAAGGTACCACTGCAGTCATTTCACCATAGTCATTTTTTTATCTGCATTTTGAATTCATTTATCTGCATTATCATTTGTCTAACTTGACATATTACTTACTAGCCACTAAAGAAAAATTCAATTATAAAATCAACTTTTCACAGTTGGACAACAAAATAAATCATAAATTATAAATACTAAGAAGATATTGTTGACAATGTTCCATTAGCGTTTGTATAATCACTGCCAATACATTTTCATCCGTGATTAAAGCCCGTGCAATTGTTGGAACAGTGAAAATCTGAAAAAAAGTTCATCAAGATTCAAAAAAATTACCAGATTAAATAGCAATTTCAGCAAAATATCATAAAATGAAATAATTTTCAATATAAAAATACTTCTTACCTGTACAGAAAGGGCCAAAATTGAAACACTATGTTCATGATCATCATCGATATAGTCGAGAACCAACTGGTCATATAACTAAAAAATCATTTTAATAACTAAACATATAAATTAAATTATATTTTAATAATCCGAAAATTATCTAATTGAAAAGAATCAACTGATTTTTCACTCAAGTTTTCTTTATTTTCTAATAATTTTCTAATAATTTTTTAAAACAATTTTTTTATTCAAAAATATTTATCCTCACTAAAACTAATTATTATTTAGATAAGGCCAATTTATGGATTTTAAAAAACATAAACAAAAGTGATTCAAAAAGTGAAGGAAGAAAGTGAAGGAATAATTAAAAAAACAATTACTTTAACGAACTGACGAGCAAACATCATTCTTTGTTCATCATACATTAAAACGGTCCTCATAAGCAATTGATGACCATGGTATCTAGCAGCTGAATATATAAAAACTATACTATCCTGAGTACCACAACCAATAGAATCTTATAGCATACAATTAAAGTTTTAAATATTACAGTCCAAATTCATCTGTAGTACATCAAATAAATTTCGAATTGAGAATAGGCTGTTGCATAGAATAACAATTCGTCGATCGTGTACAATAAAAAAAATTTTCAGTAAACCTTTGTTCACCTTTCCAAAGATGCCTATCACATTTCAAAATAATTGAAATAAGATTATCAGTTTCCTCAAGAAATTCGTATTCCGTTATATCATAATTATCAGTTAACAGCGTCTCGCTGAATAATGATTGACTGATTGCAATTCTAAGTGGACCTATAAATTTATTCATCTTTCTAAAAACATTCACCATTTTTATTCTGGCGGGCTCTAATGATAGTGGAAGTTCGCCAGATAATAACTTTAGGACAGAATGATATGTAAACCCCTAACACCACCCAGATTTTATTTTTAATGATAAGTGTACTCCCGCTAAAAAACAGAAATTGAACCTATAAACCTTACTTGAAGAATCCTATCTCCAAATTTGTTTATTAATTGAATTAAACTTATATGTTTTCTAAAAATTTATTAACTGAACAGCTCAATTTCGTGAAGATTTTTTTGATAGTTCCATTTTCTTTTGACCAAAAGATGAAAAATAACTGATGCAAAACTTACGGAAATTGTTGCATTGTTTGTTTAGCCAACTAATTAAATGTATCGCAAAAGTCTGAATAGCTACTAAGCTGCTCTCCATAACTCGTACTTCCAGTGGCCCACTTTTTTCAGTCCTTCTACTTACATCTCTTTGTGTTCTTCGCTGAAAAAAATTTTGATTTAGATAAAAACTAGAGAAATAGAAAATTCAAAATTAAGACCAAAAAATGAAGATCAAAAAATTTTAAATGAGACAAAGAAGAAGAATTTTTTAGCCATAACCATCAACCTTCCTTCACAAATCGTTTTCTTCAAAATAAATATACATTTTTCAAGTGATAAACAAATTTAACGCTCTTCTTCTAATAAAAAAAATCGAACAAAAACTTAGAATAAATAAAATATTTCCATGCCAATATTTTTCAATAAAAATTTTGAAATGATGCCTGTATCTCTTCTTTTACACGTTGACATTGCTCATGAGAGTCTGAACAAACTACGGCTCTTCCTTCACGATCAACTATCGTTGCCAATCTCATTGCTTGGGAGTCATCACAGTGAATTGAAAGATTAAGAGCACGGATTACCTTAAAAATATCATTTAAATATAACCTTCTTTTTGTCTTTTCTCCAACAAAAAAATTTGTGCCAAAATTAAATTCTTGAAAGGATCTTAAAATGAATTGAAGCTAAATTGTTAAATAAACTGAAATAAAAGAAATAAGAGTCTCTTTCGGAATGACCCAAAAAATTTTAAAAGATTAATCAAGTTAAAAATATTATGATAGCAAATGCGAGATTTCAAATCTTTCATGGAAATCTGAATAATAATGATAAAAGGATATATGGTAAATCTCAAAAGTGAAAAGTCAACCAACCGAATCATAAGTGTGTGTCTCATCATTAAACAAAATTGCATTAAATGACTCTGGACATTGACCAAGTGTTTCTTTGCTACAAATTTATTCAGTAAATTTTAGCAAAATAGTTTAAGAAAAAAATTTCACTTACCTCAGAAACCCTGGAAATTCGTTTTTTCTCCAGCATATAAATCTGAATGCAAAATGAAGAACTGCAACAGTTAAAGAAGAAATACGCTTTTGCAATTCCTTCGAACATACAAGTTTCCTAAGCAAAAAGCCCTACAGGAAGATATAAAGTAGAATCAAAAGAAAAAATTTTAAAGATTATAGACATACGTTTATATATTTTCACTGTACTGTTATGAAGTTTTCAAGTAAATCTGAGGTGTATGAATTCAAAAAAAAATTTTTTTAAATTAAAAATTAAAAATTTAAGTCAAATTAAACCTTTGTTGAACAACATGCAAATTACACAACGGGTTTCTATGCCAAGCTTCTTCATCGCCACAATCGCAATAACCATTTCCAGATGATGCAGACATCTCAATATACTCCATCTTTTCAAAAAGCATTAAATTTGATATGTTGGTAAATTATATCGTATATTATAATAAAGAATATTCATTGAATTTTTAAGATTAAACTATAAAAATAAAAAAATTTGAACACAGTTCTAATTTTTTTGATATATGAATTCATACAACATACTCTATATTTGTGGTACTTATGTTCTGAATTTTGAAAGCAATCTTGACAGAATACACAAGTTGGATCACTAGCACATTCTCTGAAAGACATTAAATGTAACTACTAAATGTAACTATTTTAATAGGATTTTGATTAATACGACCAGATATTTAAAATTTAATTTAAAATTCAAAAATTAATATGGATATTTGAAATATATATTAATTATTAAAATATTAATATATTAATTTCGTTGGAATCTAGCACCAATCATTGAAATAAAAAATCAAAAAATAAAAATTGATAAGTTAAAATTGAAAAGACACAAAAATTATTTTAAAATATTTATAATATTTAAAATATTTAATTTAAAATATTTATAAATTGTTAGGATTATAATATTTAGGAGTGGTATACTTCGACAAGTACATGAGTTTGCTTTGATTGCTGTCAAATACCATGGATTGGACTCTATCCTTTGGCAGTAATAGGCTAATCACTTAAAGCAAAAATCCAAGTGGTATTACGCATCCGTCTCTTTTTATCTTGTCCAGATTTCTCGCAATTAATAAAGAATTAGTGGGAATAAAACAAATAAAAAAGAATAAGCGATATGAGAAGAGAAATGGACAAGTGAAAATTTTAAAAAAGTATTACGTGCATGAGTAGGCAATTTCACCGGCAGCAAATGCATGACCACATACAACAGCATTCTGATCGTCTTGTTCATCACTAACCACTGAGCATTGTTCGTTTAATGAAGTAATATCTGATGCGACATTTTCATCAAGACAATAAGCAGATGCCAGTGGATGCAATAATTCATGATCTGCAACCGAAATTCTGTTAAAATGAATAGAATTTATTAAATTATAGTAATTACAGTGATAGTTCCTCGCTAGGCAAGTCTCTTTTATTAAATGCTCATATATGCAGTACCCTATTGTCTATTGCGTAAACAGCTATAGCCATTTGACGTATGGGTTAAAGAGAAATAAAATCATCTAAGCAATAGACAGTAATAAGCAATAAACAGTAATGTAATAATTAACTTATAATAACTTAATTGGCTTTTACAAGAACCTTAGTTAAAGAACAAACTTTGAATAAATCCTATAAGCGCTACTCCAAACAAAAACTGTGAATTAACATTTGATTTAGAATGGCCTGGCACGATTTTAAAAGATTGCATTCAGTAATACTGAATATTTAAAACAATAAATTGATAAAACCAAATAAAACTTTACACTAGATCTTACATAATTTAACCAATCGAAATTATTTAAATAAGGCTCAAAACAATTATATTAATTAACCCAATAAGGAGTCGAATTTAAAGGCTTTGAATGATGCATTCCTTAAAGTCTTTTTTTAAGTCAATTTAAGTGAATTATTTTACCTTGCAAAAAACAAAATGTGAAAGCGATATTAGTGTTAACAAATGAATAATTTTCAAAGGCAGATAATTTGGCAAATTTTATCTATTTTACAAATCTATTCAGTGCAAATCAAAATTAACAAAATTAAAAATTAATAAATTATTTGTTCCTTCGAGAACTAAATCAAAATCTAGAGAAACTACTTACATATGACAATTTGAAATTAACATAAACGTGAGGGAGATCAAAGGGTCTCGCAATTAATTTTACATGATTTTTTTATGAATACGAATTTTATAATGAACGAAAAAGGAGAAAGTGGTTGTTTCAATATCACATAAGAAATTCGAGAGACTCTATTTATCTTTATTTTCTGATCAATAAAATATTAGCTAGAAAAAATTGAAAGCCTTATCAAAAATTGATTTGTACATCTGTATGCACCATTCATAGCCATCATAAAACGCTTGCATAACGAAACGTTTATTTGCACGTTTGCAGACAATGTCAGATTAAAATTTCAAATGCTAATTCAGAAAATTTTGTGGCCAATTTTATTTTGTGCAACTCCGTGCTAGATTTGCAGCGTTGATTTCTTATGGGAACCAGTTTATTTCCACGAAAAATTGATGGGAAGTCGAGATGGTTAACAATCCCCTAGCGAAAACACATGCTGTTCCAATTTTTACGTATATTTCATGATGCCCTTCTCCAAGCTTCTGATTGGAAAATCACTTTTAAACACAGTTCTCTTCCAAGAGAAATCTACAATCAGGAAAGCAGGGTGATGGCATGTGCTTCTACCTTTAAGCAATACTCGAGCAAAGTTTACTTATCAGCCAGTGAATCGGCCAAACCAGAAATAGCGAAGTGATTACAAAACTAATTTCTAAACACTGCGAAACGAACTTTGAAGCAAACTCGATTAGTGCGGTAAAATAGAACGAAAACCAACTTATAAGAGTTTGGTTCCACTTTACGTCCCACAGTTGGTCGCGTTTCACCGCGAAAACTAAGGGCGACCTCGCGAGCCAATGTCCGCACAAAATATGCTCCGCTTCTTCCCAATTATTGCAACGAATCGCCGACAACAAATCGCTTATCATATTTTAAGAATTATTTACTTCGATAATCTAAAAATATCAAATTAATTTATTTTTCACAAACCATTATATAACATCCAAATTTAGGAAAATAAATTTTAATTCTTTTCTTCTTCAAAATTACTTTTATTCGAATCGTCGAATTTATTGAAAAAACCGCATTTCCGTTTACTGAAAATGTTTTCGCAATGCTAATCAATTAATTAGGTCAGCAAAGAAGGCTCAAAGCCCAGTTATGCTCGCATTTACTGCAAAGAAGGAAAAAACGGCGCAAATCAAAATAAAATCGACCGCCACATGTGGGAAGTGTTTTCAACAACACGAATTGTTCACATGTTTTGGTTTTTGTGCTTTAATATTCGATTTTCGCAGTCTTAAAATGATTTTCTAATATCGATAATTCTTTAACGGCATTGGTTAAGAAGCTGTTGGCATTGGCTTCTTTATTTCCAGTCTGTGGTGGACATGTGGTTCGGAACATTCGTTTCATTTCACGGCTTGGGTAGGGGACTTTTGTGTCGTATTAATAATTGATAAATAATTTAAGGAAAGTTTCAGTAAATCGTGGTAACTGGCGATAATATGGCAACCCATTTTCTAGCTGGTATTTGCACCAACGATTATGTGCTGTTGGCATCCGACCGGAGTTGTTTCTCGTTTGGTGCATTAGTTGTTACGAACGGTTGGCCTTTATAAATTTGTTCAAGATATTATATTTTTAGTAGACTTTGGTGCTTCTATTGTTTAGTATGGCGTTTACTTACTGTATTGGATAATCAACTTCTACTCAGGTTTTTGATATTTCCTCAGTGAATTGTTATTCATTTCAGTAGAATATTCTAGAATTTAGACTTAAAGTTTAAGCTTGGCTTAAGACTTTAAGATTTACGGTTTTTCCTGTATTTTTCTAAAATTTTTAATAAATTCTGTAATTCTGTAATTTATAATTTTTAATTTTAATAACTCCATAATACTTGATAAATAAATTTTTAATTATTTCTCCTATTTAATTTTCGAAATTACGAAATTTTGCTTTATTTTATTTCAGAACATGAGAAGAAATTTGTATTGGGTAAAAAATTAATACTGATGTGCATCGGTGAAGGTGGCGATGTGGCTCAGTTCGGTGATTGGTGCAAGAGAAATATACAACTTTATAAGCTTCGATATGGTAATTGTTTATTTAGAAAATTTTAAAGATTTTCCATTTCTTTTGGAATAAAACTTTGATTAAGTTTATCTTTATGTTTTTTAATTTATTTCTGGACTTCATTTCTTGAACATTTTTAAAGCTTAGTTCAAAAAAGAGAAATATTTTTGCAGTATGTAATTCGTGGAAAAAAGACCAATTTTTTTCAGAATTCTTTCTATTTTAGAAGGAAATAATTATGGAGTATTTTATTTTAGGCTATGAAATGAGTCCGAAATCTAGCCACCATTGGATTCGTCAGAGTATCGCAAACTCATTAAGAACGGAAAACGCTTATTATGTCGATGCATTAGTTGGTGGCTTTGATGACATCGAGAAGAAACCGTTTCTTGGATCAGTTGATTATCTTGGCAATGGACTTGCCGATCAACCCTATCTTTTTAGAGGCTTTAGTGGCAAATTTTGTTACTCAATTCTCGACAGAATGTATAAACCAGATATGACCGAAGAAGAAGGAATCACTGTTTTGAAGAAATGTTTATGTGAAGTTAAACGTAGATTCATTGCAAATTTGTCGAGTTTTGAGGTTTGTTTTTGAAATAACTTCTCAATCATTAAAAAAATTTCTTTAAAAAAATTTTGATTTGAAAATTTCTTATAATTATTTTGTTTTGTTTCGATCCAAATTCAATTTTTTCTTTTAATTATAGCTAGTGATTATTGACAGAAATGGAATCAGGCAACTGGACAGCGTTGAAATGTAAATTTTTTTTCGTGTTAATTGTTGATTCATGAATTTTTCATTCGTTTCTATTTTAATATAAAAGTTTTTACTTTATAAAACTATACATAAAATAAGAACTGCTGGCGTTGCACTGAATCGGAAATCTTAATGGATTTTTTCGTTTTATTCCACAAATTTGAAATAATAAATATTGAAAAAACAGAAAAATGAATAAGTTTAAATTTCAATGGAATGTTTACGGCTATGATATATCCTCTTCTTTTAATAATTTTTTCTGGCATTCTTCTATCATATCCAATCCTTTACATTCCATACCACGCTTTAAGGTCAATAAACTGCTCTTGATTACACGTAATTCGTCTTGTTTTGTCAGTTCTTTTTCTGCTTTTTTATTATACTTGACATAAACCTATAACCATATAATAAAAAAGGTCATACTTTCATATCTTTCATTCTTTTACTTTATTCTGCATAAAACTGAAGTCTTATATTTAAAAAATTTAAATACAAACCTTAAAATTACTATAAAACTTGAGAAATTTAAAGTGAAATGTTTCTACAATAAAAGTTGTCAAGATATGGATGGCAAAAAAAGAACCTCATTTAGCGCTAGTCTATATTCATTGTAGAGTTTAGTTTCAGCTGTTCTTGCCAATTCCTCTCTTCGTGCTCTCGTCATTTTTGGCATCGTTGCATATAAACAAATACCATCTTGTTGCGTATTCACATTAAGATTATTCATTATAGCGAGTTTGGCAGCTTTAATTGATGCCGGATTACTTGTAAAATCCATTTGTATAATCATCGGAGCTTTCAAGACAATTTTTGCCAGTCGATTCAATTTTAATTGCTGTAAGAATTTTAAAAGAACTCCATCAAAAAAAAAAGAAAATTAAGAATCAACTGGATTTTATGAAAATAGATTAATGGAGTCAGAATAGATTAATAGATTAAAGAATTAATGGAGTTAAACTATCAAAAAATCATGATATATAATCAAAGAAAAAATGATACTGTGTATTTACAGTTACGCCAAGTATTACAATTTTTAAGGACACTACTTGTTTACAAACTTAAGACTCGTTCAATGATTCAATACTCATTTGATTTAATTTATATTTAATTTTAAAAAATCCACTCATAATAAGTCTTAAGACCTGGGTTTAACGAAATGAAAGTAAGAGACAATACTATTGCTATGACAATTAAGTGGTCAGCACCCACCATTTCAAAATAGGCTCTCTCCACTGGCCATTAATATGATAAGGAAAAAAAGGAAAAAGGAAATTTTCACCAATCATTTGGCAAAAGCTATAGGATAATTCTGTCGATGATGAGGTCCGAATCTTATTGACTGAGACAATATTCTGAGCAACAATCACTTGACTGTTCTGTCCTAATGATTTAATACCGAATAACAATTGTCCAAATAATAGAAAAGATCGCTACCTGCTAAATTTTTGGTTCTCGAATAGAAACATTAAAACTTTTTTTTAAAATTTCAATTAACTGGTGAATCAAAATATTCACCTTTCCATCATCCATTTGCACAGTAACATCTTCAAATGTACGGATATTAACTGATGATGAAAAATGTTTTTCGAGTTCGCTTTTCAATATTTCTTCAAGTTCACTCACTTCCTTCATAGCATTTTCTATATAAGGCACTTCGATATCCAATAATGTTTCGAAATCTTTTAAAGAAACCTTTAAAATGTTAAACATTTATTTCTTTTGGATATTATAAATCCATGTCGTGGATGGAGCCAAAAGCAAAGAAACGATTTTGATCGAACAGACAGCCCAATTCTAGCCTTAGACAATTAAAAAAGGAGTACTTTTCAGCTGTTTTCAGAAAAGCATCGAGAGGCTTGGAGAGATCTTGGACAGCGTGAGCTGTTAAAAGAAAAAATTCATGCTATATTTTTGCACTAGTTCAGCCAGAAAAATAAATAAGAAACTGACCTTATTTCTTCTTTGACCTTTGCGTAATTTTTCAAGAGGAGTTGACAAATGCATTAATTGCTTTCGACAAATTGTCGCTGATAAAGGTATTAATACATTAATTGCATTAAAATTCCTTATCCCAAAATGGAAAAATTGTTTTAACATTTTGTATTTTAGTGAACAAAGAAGACAACGGTTATACCTGACACCAGCCAATTGCTTGATGCATGAAAAAGAATAGCGATAAGAGTCTGAAAGATATCACATACTTTTACATAAATTTGCTTGACCTATAGACTACAGCCACGCTATGAAATGTTCATGAAGGTAAAAGCACTTTTAAGAATAACTAAATTTTCTGAAAATTGACTACTACTACGCCCGATTAACTTCTTTTAATAACTGATCATTTCTGGCTTAGCTAACCATTAGGACTGGAAAGAACTGGACGTATAAAGAACTCCAAAATCTCCAGCATCAGCTAAATCCAATTTTAATGACCCGTTAAGGAATAAAAATTTACACAACGCCAGAAGGAAAGAACTGTACATTCGATTAACTGAAGAGATAATTTTATTCAAATTGATTAATACCAAAAATGTGTAGCTTCAAAGGCCTTCATTCACAAGAACCATTAACTATTTCATTCCTTTTACCTATCGTTTTATTTGGGACCATTTATTACCATTTTTCCTTTTATTCGATAGAAATTTAATAGTTTCAAATAATTGTTATGACGAAATGGAAATAATGCTAAATAACGTGTCAGAAACTGCAGCAAGAATCGGACTCGGGATTAATGTCAAAACGAAAGTCTTTTCATCTTAAGTGCAAGAAGCTGATAAAATGCCTCTTTTTATTAATGGATTGCCGGTTGAGGAAGTGTTCGATTTTAAATACTTTGGGTCCACTCTAATACCAAATGACCAGTCAAAAGATGATATTATAGCCACGACAGCTAGAAATGCGTTCTTCCGGTTTACGAAACCTTTATAGAGTCGTCCTGAAATTACCATTAAAAAAAAAGTCCGCATCTATATAGCCGTGATTCGTTCGATCTTGCTATGTGGTTCTGAGACATAGCCAGTGAGAGTAGAGGATATTAAAAAGCCATCTACTTTTGACTCTTGTCAGAGGTATATTTTACTGGTGCGTCGAGCGGATAAAATATCACATGATCGCATCCACCTTCGTTAAAATACTATTGTCGCCAAAAAGTGAAAAACGCTGTAAATCAACCGGATTCCCGCCCATTTTAAATATAAGCTCCCAGAAGATCAATTTTGGTCATTTTTGTGTTTTATTAGGGGAAACGAGTAAGGGAGCGGTGGGTGAGTGATGGGCACTTAGTTTTTATATTTGATTTCTTTGACTGTATTATTTCGTTATAGCAGAGCAATTACTTCGCTTTTTTTTTTATATATTATATATTATATTATATTTTTGTTTTTTGCGTCTTTACTAATAAAGGTTTACCCAAGTTTAAGGTTCGCAACGAGAAAAGTAAGAAGTAGAACGCTGGCCGTAGAGCTTTTATAATATTGATAAAAAAGAAAAGTCCCGCGTGGCAGGAAAGTTAAATCTATACAGAAAAAAGATAGTGGAGCGGATTCCCAAAAGGAATTGTGGTAAAGGTAGAATATTGAAAGGGAATCTCCGTGCTCCCAACGAAAATTCCGTACTGCCATAAAAATCCCCCTTTTCTGTATAGATGTGTAAATATGCCATTAAAGGCGAAAATAGCTCAAAACAAATGATAATTCATTATATTTATTTATCATAAATATAGAAATTACGAATTCTTTATGGTCAAAAGGGGGATCCCCCTTTTCTGTACAACTTGCATAAATAATGTTATCACAGAGCGTTGTCTTCGGTAGTTAGGGCACGTTCTCCGTCGTCCATCACAAGAGTTGTCGCATATTTCATTATTTTCTAAACCGTGTGACGGTTGGCGTCAAAAGCGAGATGGGCCAATCAAGACCTGGACTGATACGGTGAGAAAAGATTTTGAACATATAGTTGGACCAGCAATATATGGACTTAGATGATGGAAAAAGGAATGGCTTCTATTATTGTCGACGATAGCATCAGACCGCGCCGCTTGGAAGCGTCTTACCCTTGTAGGCGTTGGAGCCAGCCCAACCAGTAATGGTGAGAGCTGTTAAAAGAAAAGTTCTAGATTAGAAAGCGTTAATATTCATAAATTATGAATAATCAAGTCTTCCATTATTCGGTGATTAATGTGCAAATAATTTCGATTCTTCACAGAAATAATGGGATAGGACAGATGAATGGCTAATTTTAGCGCTAATTTCGTGTTTAAAGGCAAAGCTTCCGAAATCTCTAAAAAGTCCGATCCCCCTGAAAAGTCCGAATGACGCTGGCAATCCACTTGTATTTCTGTCGCTTCTCTTATAAAAGTTCCCTAGCATTCCCTAGCAAAACACCTCAACTCCATCAACAATTAGGCATAAAAATAAATGGTTCGCTTACTTTTTATTTACCTCGCAAAAATTGCAGAAGTAATCAATTTAATGGCTCAATGTTTAGCCATTTAAACTGCCGACGTATTATGCAAATAAAGAATAACGATGGCGGAAAAAGTAAAGAGATAAAAAGGAAAAAGAACAGTATGAAGCACATGAAGCGTGAACAACGATGTGAAATTTACCAGAACTCCTTTAGCACTCGCCGTTTTTGGTTGGACTAGTTCCCTTCCCCGACCTGCACATGGGCGATCACCTGGCGGGGCAGCTGCACCATCCACCATCACCATCCGACTTTTCTCCTTCTTCTCGCCGCGAAGTCCGCGAGTCGCTGAGCCCTAAGCGTAGCGATCACTCGTTCACCCTCACTTCCGACCTGTTTTTTAATTTCAAAATACGCAAATCATCGCTGTTTCGTTGTCTTAAAAAAGCTCCTAAAAGCGTTTCACTTCGCTGATCAAAATTTTAAAAGATTTTAAAACATTCCTTCATCAAATTATTACAATTTCATTAACCATTTTTCACATAAACAAAATAATATTGTGCAGAGTAGTTTTAGGTTGAACGTGGACGTAATTGCCAAATTATCGGGGAGGCTCTGGGTTGATGCCTTATTGCTAAGGGATTTGAGAGGTGGTGTGGATGCGGAGACGGTGGAAGTTTGGGCAGAGGGAGGTGGCGCGTCGGGACTTTGTGTGGTCTTGACATTTGGGTCTGGCACGGCCTAGTTGTTGGGTCGAATAGTCCCGTTTAGATCAGTCCGAATAGTGGGTCGAATTTAATTCAACATTTTCATAAATATTTAAAGATCTATTGTTACGGGGAGGATTTGCGGGAAAAGTTTTCTTCAAATTATTTGAATTGAAGAACTGTTTTAGATATGCCGCAAAGATTGACTTATAGACGTCGACTTTGTTATAATACTACTTCAAATAAGAAGAAGGTTTGTTTTTTTTTATTTTTTGGTTAACATTATGGAAATAATTTCAGTTTCAGTGATTTAAGAAAACTTAAAAAACTTAAGAAAAGAAACATAAGAAAACTTAAGAAAACTTAATATTGTACGAGAATATTTCTCAACAAAAATGCAGTCAAATCAAGGTTGTATTCAATTTTATTATTTCTTATGAACTGTTTTATTACTTTTCATATTTAGCATTTTTTTCATTGAAATTTTTGTACATTTGTGTTAATTTGTTTTTTAAACCAATTGAAATGCTGAAAATCGATTCTTAATATATTGTTTTGCATTACATTATTTATTACTGAGTGATTATTCAAAGATATCCTAACCAAGCTGGATTCAGACCGGGACGAGGTTGTGCTGACCAGATATTTACGATAAGAAGGGTGCTGGAACATCCTTTCAAATACCATCAACCCAGTGTCAATATTCAATTATGCGATGGACTGGATAATGGGCATCGCTTTTTGGCACTTAGGAAGTGTGCAGATCAGTCCAGAACGTAGCATCACAGACCTAGAATACGCTGATGATGTAGTCCTTTTTACTGACGGTTATAAGGAATTGCAAATAATGTCAAACAGTATATATACTAATTGCTGTTATAATACCTATTTTTTTAATCAATTCATTACCGATTGAGGAAGTGCCGTCCCCGACTTTAAATACCTTGGATCGACTCTAATTCCAAATGTCCAAACAAAGGACAAAGGATGAACCCGAACAACAGCTAGAAATATGTTTTTCCCGATAATAAAACCTTTGTGGAATCGTCACGAAATCATCATAAAGACGAAAATCCGAGTCCATATAGCTCCAATTCGCTCGATTTTGCTATATGGCTGCGAAACATGGCCAATGAGAATGGAAGATATTAAGAAGATAACAGCTTTCGATTACTCATGTCTAAGATATATTTTACAGACTCGTTGAGGGGATAAAATTGCACATGATTGTATCCATCTTCGCTCAGATATCACCTATATTAATAATCACAGAGCGTCGTCTTCGTTGGTTAGGGCACGTTCTTCGTCACCCACCACAGGAGTTGATAAATATTTCGTTACTTGCTAAAATCTGTGTTGGGTGGCATCAGAAGCGAGGTTGGCTAATCAAGAGCTAGACTCAGGAAAGATTTTGAACGTTTAGGGGGACCAGCGATATATGGACTTGGACGATGGAAAAAAGAATGGCTTCTATTATTACTAGCGATGGCATCGAACCTAGCAGCTTGGGTCTTATTCTTGAAGCCAGCGGAGCTAGCCTAATCAGTAATGGTGAAAGCTGTTAGAAGAAGCTTCTGACCGAAATAAATCTCCCATTAGAAAATTCAGCTGGTATTGCAGTTCATAGGCAAGTTTTTGCTGTGGTAATAGTCATTGGAGCTGGCTTATTAATTATTAATTTACTAATTAACTTGTTTCTTTATTCATTTGTTGTATGTTTTTGTTTATTTATTGTTTTTGTATTATTTTAATACTTGTATAATATTTTTATTTTATATTTTTACGTATTTTATATTTTATTTTATATTTTTACGTATTTTCGCACTCAAAAATATTTTAATATAAATTTAAGTATTTATTGTCGCAATACAGGAGCAAGGACCAAGCACCAGATCCATCGAAACAAGGATCTATCACATTAGGCAGGATGCAAGTGCAAATTGTGCCCCAGAAAAGTCCAACATATAGTGGTAGACTAAAAACAACAACAACACACTGAAAGGCAAACAACTAAATAGCTGGCATTATCTACAGATCTGCCCAGTATATAACTTAGATCCTCCCAAGACTAAATGGAAGATTCATCAGAAAATCGTAGAGAAAAATCAAGCGAAGATCCCGTGGGACTTTCCCAGACAAATAACTAGTGGCCAATTAACTAGATATGGTTGTAATAGATAAGAACCAGAAATCGGCACTGGTGATTGATATATGATACCATGTTACAGGGATGATAGAAAGAAGAAATATGAGAAAAGGGAAATATCGAGGGCTGAAAGAAGAATAAAAGATGTGGAAAGTGAAGGGTCATAATGATCCTAGTGATAACTGGAGCACTTCGTACTGAGGCCCCAACTAGAGAAGTGGTCTAGATTCCAGAAGTAATATTAGAAGTCTTTGTGCAGAAGAACGCACTATTAGGAATAGTTAAGATATTGTGCATAACCTTCAATTACCCAGGCCTCTGGTAGAGGGTTGAGGATAATCATGATCCAACAGAGGGATAAGAGAAAAAGTTAGTAATTATAATGATAATGATATTCAATATTGTTTTGTTCATACTTAAAAATTAAAAATTTAAGATTTCGAAATAGTGCACGAGTTTTATTCACTGTAAAAGAAAATTCTTGATATTTTATCTGTAATATCTTTTCTTTCTTTAGTAATTAAGCGATGTTAAGGTGTCGAAAACTCCTGGTGGTCGATTAGTATATTTGTATCGTAAAAAACAAGGGAAAGTGCCACGATGTGGAGATACCGGAGTGAAACTTAAGGGCGTAAGTGGTTTTGAAATTTTTCGCTCTTTTTATTTAGTATTGTTTTTATTTCAGTAATTTTATTGTTAATTTCTTCATGTTTTTTAATTAATAGCATTGTGGGCATTCTATCCTAGTGGTATATTCGATCATTATTTCACCTTTTACTTCTGGCCCAGCGGACCCCAATAAAAAAACTGAATTGGTGCAAGGGATCTACTTGTACTTTTATTCCTAAATATCTTTCTGATGAATAGATCTCATCTCAATAGCTAGTGGAGCGAGGCGAAACAAAAATTGTGGTGTTTATTTCATTTTTATTGCAATTAAATTTATGGTGAAATGCAAATTGCAAAGTTTTAGATCAAACCAGCACGTCCTCGTCAATTATCAAAAATGACAAGACGTTTAAAAAAAGTAACTCGTGCTTATGGAGGTTGTTTATCTGCAGCTGCTGTAAAAGAACGAATTATTCGCGCATTTCTCATTGAAGAACAGAAAATTGTAGCTCGTGTATTGAAAGCAACGAAAAATATTGAAACAAAAAAATAATTCTTAGTTTCTTTTCAAGTACTATTTTGTTGTTTTGCTATTCGAAAATGATAAAGTACTAAAATCCAAGTTTTGTTTTTTCTTCCGCATTTTATTGCATATATTTTATATCTGCGATTTATTTTAAACAAATAGAGTTGGTTTAGTACAGCGATGTAATTTTTTTTAATCCTTTGGCTGTTCTTTTTTCTGATTTTTTAAATGAACTTATAAGTTGTTTTTAAATGCATGAAACGCTTAAGAATACAGTGAGGAAACAATGTGTTATGAAAATAATCGTAATGTCACACGTATTGTTCTTGTACAACAATTGTAGTAATTGTTAAAATGGTTTGTTATCTATATTCTTAATTGGAGTGAGAACCAGATTTAATTTGAGGTTGGCCGAAACATTGATTAAATTTTTTTCCTGTCCAAATTTGTCGCTCTGATGGGCCATAGATCAAAGGTTAGGTACTGCTGGTTGAGAGGAAGATATTTTTTCTTAAGAGAAGTGAAGATGGGATTGGATTGTTGTTGTCGAAAGTTAGTTGGAAGGGGCTTTAAAAGTAATTTACATTTCTTGGTAGAATAGAATTATTTCTATACGCTCAATAAGTAGCAATAAGTAGCAATCGACGCTATCCAATTAACCGAAAAATTCCGATAAATGAGATTATAGAGTTAGTTTAGTGCAGAGACGTTAGTTTAATTTTTTTGACTGTTTGGTTGTATTATGGGAATATTATGGGAATACATAAGCTTTTGAGTATTGGATTGCAATTTTCTGATTTATGAGCTAAGGTTCAGTACAAGAACTTGACTTAGTTATTGCTAGATTAATGAAGTAAAGAAGTATTTTAAGATATTTGGCGAGTGATGAGCAGTAAGATGAGCGATGAACTGGTAAATGTGCAAAATGGCGCTGCGAGTAAATTAAAAACCGCGAAGAATCCGAAAGAAATAACGAGTGAAGAATGGAAAAGTATTCTCGAACCGTTAGAATTTCATGTAACCCGTGAATCAGGCACCGAGCAAGCATTTTCGGGTAAGTTTGATAAATATTTTGAGAAAGATGGCGAATATCACTGCTTATGTTGTGGCGCAAAATTATTTGATTCTGATACAAAATTTAATTCGGGATGTGGTTGGCCAGCATTTTTTAAATCATTTAATAATGATGAAAATATTGTACGTTTATTGGATACGTCACATGGACGAATAAGAACTGAAGTTCGTTGCAAGAAATGTGATGCGCATCTCGGACATGTTTTTGATGATGGGCCACAGGAACGCGGTGGAGAGCGATACTGTATTAATAGTTGCTCTATTAATTTTATCAAAAATTGATGGTCGGCTTTTTTTATAAACTATTCTTAAAAATTTTGGTTTTTTGATGGAAAACCGAAATTTCTCTCTGTGGATGGTGTGGGACCTTGGAAATATTTGGTTTAGCGTTTAATGATTTATGGGAAAAAATCATAGATTTATTGCATAATGTAAAAATTAATCTGGAAATTGAAGATTGATAAAGTAAGCGTACCTCATAATAATGCTTTGGATATCTGTGAATTAATTTTTTTTTTTAAGAATTTTCACTATTAGTGATTAAACTGGCTTCACTGGCTTGTCGCATTGGACAAATATGCCAGGGAATTCCTTGGTGATAGAAGTAGTACAAGTGAGTCGCCAGCATCATCCAGATTTTTTGACAGATTTACTCCTGCGAGAAATAGAACCTTAGTATCGGTGCCCCGAATTGAGCAACCGAATTGAGCCTGTGAATTAATGGTAATATATATATATATATATGCTTTTAATTACAAATATTTGCATATATTCTCTTATAAATAAATGTCACAAACACATTTTAAAAATCCTCTTCTTATCTCCTGTGGGTCTATCAGAGTGTTTGCGTTCTGATATTGTCTTAACGGCGCTGTTCTGGAGAGATCTCTGATATTGTTCCTGGAATTTGTCGGAGCCTTGGAACCACATTTCTAGCACAGGGCTTGCACCCTTGAGGGTTCCTACCATGACTGGAACCGCTGAGACGTCTTCCACATCTTCTCTAATTCCTCTTTCAAGTCCTCTCTAGCTTCCAGTATTTCTATAGCTTCCCATATTCCTCCCTGATGTTTCTGCCATTTGATATTCCTATGTATATGATCACAGTTATTTTCTGGTTCTTGACTACTATTACGGTCTAGTTGGGCCAGTATCTTCTCCGTCTGGATCAGAAATGACTGTACTAGTCACAATTTTGTAAAATTGTGACTAATGCAGTCATTTCTGTAATTATCTGGTCTATCCCATACATACAGTTTGAAGAGAAGGCATTCCTACGGGAAATGTTTACTTGGTTAGCCGTTAGTATTTGCTATATTCACTACATTGTATATTTGTTTAACATATTTAATTTAGATAATATATTTACTTTTAATCCATAAACTTATTTGTATTTAAGATGTTATAATAATTTAAGCCTTTGACTCCTAATTTATTTTTATCTAAATACAATCACTGTTCTTTATATGTTACTTTAATAATTAAAATTATTGTATTTCTGGTATTTTTGTATAATTCCAGAAAAGGCCAAAGATGAATATTTTGAAGGAAATGAAATTTTTTTAGATTTTGGACAAATGTGAACGAAGAATTTTATAGCATCTTTTTGGCAGTCTTCAAGCCAAAGTGAAGAGCAACCTGTAATTTTATTGAATTTAAATCATTAATAACAAACCACTGAGAAAAATGAAATAGAAAATAAAATGAACTTTCAAAAAACCACAAAATAGTTTTTAATATATTCTGCATTTCAGTTTAGCTGACAGATTGATTGAACAAAAATGGAAAATAGATAACATAAACGGAAAAAAGCAAAAACCATTGTAAAAAAATAGAGGCAGTAGGAATATTTGACGCAAATATATTTCAGTATTTTAGTTCCCACTTTCTTTGAACGATCAGCATGTGAAACACGGCATGATCAAATTTTTATCCTCAGACTTGGGTAATTAAACCAATTAACAATACGACAATGAATGTCAGAAAACGGAATAACAAAAAACTTAAAAATTTACAATTCAAATAATTTATGAAAGGGAGAAGAGTTCGGAAATTTGGAAAAGCATAAATGCACCTTTAATGCACCAGAAGCAAACAAAGGTGATTCTCACACGTTGGATTATTCGTGAATATTCGTATAAACATGAATAATACGAATTTAAACAAATGCACGATCTTAGACAACCATAATCGCCACCAAACCGGAACAATCGGCAAGATATCCACTAAAATCTGCTAAAATTCCATACTGGTTGAGGAATGCATTCGCAAATGTATTGCGACCATAGGTGGATGTCATGTAAGCAATCCGACGTTTTTAATGTTTCGGATAGCGAGTGTCGTTCCAAATTCAGAGTGAGAATTCAGCTTCAGCCAGTTATATTTAATAAAATGAAATCGTGCAATAGTAATAATGCAATTATCACTGGGAAATTCAACTAAATGGAAAACCAGTAGCATTCAAGCTTGTCACTACTAATATCCAGAAAATCTTGGAAAACCATTGAATTCCCAAGGCTAAGATCGATGGTAACATTGAAATTTTTATCCCCTTAAAATGGAGAATTTAATTATTTCAGTTTTCTTATTTTCAAAAAAGATGGAAGATGGGGATTTTTGCCAAATACAGATGTTCAATTAAAATATGCCATTAGATACCATCTGAGAAAGACAATTCTCAGATACAATTCTCTACCCAAAAGTTTTTGATTCTATTGGGTTTATTTTATTCCAAAACAAAAACTGTCTTCGACCCCAAGTTTATTTTTAGGCTTCTTTAGAAACTAGTATCACATACAATATTGCATTGTAGTTTTTGCATTGTGCTGAAGCCAAACTGAGCCGCTTTAAAAAAAATGAATCATTTGAGTCAAATATCAAATACTAACAATGGACCACAACAAAAGTTGCTTGCTGTTAAAGAGGCAATATGACAATTGATATTTCAACCAGTGCCAAATGATATGATTCAAGCTTTGCCAACAACATACAAACCGTCAAAAAGGCAACAGTCAACGACAGATCGCTGACCGAAATCAAGCATTTTTTTAAAAAATGGCTTAGTGAGTTTTACAGACGTAAATTTCAAAGTTTCACAAAGTAACCTCTAGATTGTTGACGAATGCCTCATGTTTGGATTTGTTGTGCTCCAACCAAAAATTATTCAGCTTCATTGGGAACGTCCAGGAATTTCAAGGATGAGAGTCTTCGCATGCACTCACGTCTATTAGCCTTTCCTCGACAAATATGTGGAAGAATCTGTGAAAGAAATTTGCAGGAAAGAAAGGTTCCTAGTAAGAAGCAATTCGCAACATGCTCAAATCCTCAGCGGTGTGATATAGAACTGATAATCAATATTATGCCCGCCCAGTAAAGGACAATATTTTCTACTAATCGTCGATGCTTTGTCGCATTGGCCAGAAATATATAATCAAATGATTATTTATTAATTTCAAAAACAATTTATTTTCTTGCGCACAGTATGAATTCCACTATTATCTCAGATAACGAGAATTCACCACATGAATTCTGTGAAAAGGATTATATCACCTTTACGATCCTCAAGCATTTTGTTGATACATTTAAAATATCACTTGCTGAAATGAATGGAGAAGCTGGAAAATTTACAAAATTAAAGGCTAAAGGCTAAATGTTACTTTACCGAATCATATGAAAAAGAGTTAGAAGCTCAAGCCTAATGAGGCAATTCGAACTACCGATCTTTTTCACTCAATATTAAAAACCAGTTACCATATAAAAATCTGGAACAACATTTCGACACACTTCAAGTGCAAAATTTTCCTCTTTCAGAAAAAGAATGGCTTATCTACATTCGGAATCAGTAAGAAACGAGAATTCCTGTCGAAGTTCTCAAAAGAATAAGAAGAAAGATTTATACAAAATTCGAGAGAACAGTCAGAAATGACATAAAATAGTGAACAGTTAGAAATCGCATTACAAGCTAAGATGGCATACTTTGCTGGATGTATTCGGTTTTAAATGAGTACGGGTGATACGAGAATCAAACCAAACGGAATGGCTCTACTACTGTTTCAAATTCTGGAGCACCACAGTCAAGACAATTAGACTTGGATCCAAACAGATACATCTATCTAAATGATAAGATCCTATGATCTTTCTTTTAAAAAAGATGTAATATATTTGATTCTTAATCTATAAACTTATCTTAAGCCTTTAAATTCTTTGTCTAATAGTTTTATTATTATTAGTTAGACTGGTTCCACTGGCTGCAAGATAAGACGCTGTTCGGCCTGACACCATCATTGACTGTAAATGCCATTCCTTTTTCCATCGTCTAAGTCCATATATTTCTGGTCCATCCATACGTTCAAAATCTTTCCTAACTGTATTGGTCCAAGTCTTTATTGGTCCTCCTTATTCTTGACGCTATCCATCAGGGTTTACCAAATAATGAAGTATGTGCCAATTCATGTTATGGGCGATGAAGAAAGTGCTTAACCAACGAAAAAGATGATAAGACGCTCTAGCTGCTGTGATTCGGGTTGCAACATCATCTTTTGTCTGGCCATTTGGTATCAGAGTGGACCCAAGGTATTTAAAATTGGACACTTCCTCAACTGGCAGTGAATTAATAAAAAGAGGCATTTTATCAACTTCTTGTGTTGTGGAGGGATTAGATTATTGGGAATGGATTGGCGATGTACAAGATGTTGGATAAATGAAAATTAATTCGTGAGGGATGTGGTTTTTCCGTGGATGGTCTAATGATTTGTCGTCGTACCCAAGCAGGTTAAGATATTTTTATTTTTATTACAACATAAATTATAAAATAATGAAAGTTCAAGATAAAAATTAAGAGAAAAAAAAGAGAGAAGAAGAAAATTAGAAAATAGGGTAGATGACTTCAGCTTATTCCAGTAAAATAACTTCGACCTCGTGTCAATTTTATACACATAAATATAGTTTTCATTAGCAAAACATTTTAGTGTGAATAGCATACGGCGCATAATTAATAGATGTGTATTACAAAAACTATAGTTATTTGATTAGCCTTAATAGATGTGAGATTTTGTATGCTAAATTAGTTTTTTTTTGGGCATACAAAAAAAGAATTAGAATTTAAGATTAGTAAGCTGATTCATAGCAATTATTTGGGAATTTATAGATTTTTTTTGTGTTCGTTCTTTGCGATATCTTGTACATAATACGAAAAGACTTTCGTTTTACATTGACCCTGAAGTCCGATTCTTGCTGACACATTGTTTAGCATTGCTTAATTTTACCATAAGTGCCAGCAAAAA